GAAGTCCTCTACAGGCTGAGCACACCCACTCCCGAGAGACCTCGCAACAAACAGTCGGAGCTCAGGTTGGTAGTCCCAGAGGCTTTAGGTGCCGACATGTTACATTACTCGCACAAGGACTTCCAAGGCGGTCATCAAGGAACCAACAGGACGTTTGAGCGATTACGCTCAGAGTTCTACTGGATCGGGATGTACGCTGATGTACAGAAGTTCGTGAGAGAGTGTGTAGATTGTGCGTCAGCCAAGGGGCGACCACCGGTTCTCGGCCCATCACCGGGCAATATCGAAGCGAGATACCCGTTCGAGGTGGTCTCTATGGATTTTGTTACTGAGTTACCTGATTACGATCGTGGAAATACCTATTTGTTGCTGTTCCAAGATCAATTCTCAGGATATGTCATGTGTAAACCCATGCGGAATACCGAAGCCCAAGATGTTGCTGAAGCATACGAAGAGTGCGTATTCAGGAGGTTTGGGGCGAGTTCAATGATCAGATATGATCAGGACCCCCGATTCATGAGTAAAGTCTTCGCTAGATTCGAAGACCTTCTGAAGAGCAAGCAGCGCGCAACGCTAGGATATCGGCCACAGGCCAATGCACAGCAAGAACGCTCAGTTCAAACGGTAATGCGAAGTGTCAGAGCGTACGTCGCTGAAGTTGACCAGAACGACTGGGACGAGTATGCAGAACGTATCATGTTTGCCCTGAATACCTCATTCGTCGCTGCAAGGTTGGACACTCCGTTTTACCTGGTTCACGGGTGGGATGCCAAGGTAACCATATCCGCAATGCTGGGCCCGAAGCCATCCACAGTCCATGAACGAACGGCCTTGGAGTGGCGTCGGAAGATGCAACGGGACTATAGTTATGCTCTCGCGTGTGCTGAGGACTTGCAAAAGAAGGCAAAACGAGCGAGATCTGCTGCACAGACTCGTAAGTGGAGAGAACTCTCAGACCGCGTGAAAGCAGGTTTCGAAGCCGGTGATTCTGTGTGGTTGTACATTCCCAAAGTCCGCACGGGATTGAGCCGCAAACTAGCCCACCTGTGGCACGGACCTTTCCGAATCGATGAAATCCATGATGATTTCAGGGTCAAGCTCAAGATCCCAGGCACAGCCTATCGTGTGAACCCGTGGGTCCATATTAGCCGCCTCAAACCGACAGCTCTGTTCCCTAAGCGACCGACCTCAGAGATCCAAGTCTCCGAAGATGATGATTTTGATGCAGCTTTACTACCCGAGGATAGTTGGGAGCCAGACACGGCCCAGGATGAGTACGAGGTTGAAGAGATCCTGGATCTCAGGTGGATAAATGTACCAGGACCTCCAAACGTTCCCGAGAATATCTAATCAAGTGGAAAGGATTCACAGACCCAGAATGGATACCTCTAGCCCAACTTAATTGTGGGGCGTTGTTATACGAGTTCGACCAGGGTGCTAAGGCGAGAGCGCGTTTCCAAGCTATGCAAGCTGGAGACGATCACCCTGGGAACTAGGTTCGAAGGCGACGTCTAGCCCAAGGAACTCATATGTGTGAACAGGATAGTATTGATTTTGAGGATTGTGAAGTGGGTGTTTCCTGAATCCGGCGAGGATCTCAGGGAATAGCCATTGTAGAAGTGAGTATCATGACAAAGACCATCCTCAAAGTGGTGAAGAAGTCTTAGCATTGATGCGCATGAAGTCCACGTAATCCTTGATTCCGTCAAGGGTCTCAGAGGTCAGGTCTCGTACTTCGTGGAAATAGAACACGGTGACGCGGAAAAAGAACATCACAAACCAGGGGGCTCTGATGTACTCGCCATCTTCATCTTGATCAGGGCGACCGTTGACGGGCTCAGGAACGTAAACCAAAGCTTGATATGCCTCAAAGTCCCAGCGAAGCTTCAGAATGTGAATGTCAGGTTTATGGGGATCGAAGTCAGGATACCCTTGAGACTGTCTGTAAGAGTCGAACTTCACAAGAATCCCGAAGATACGGTAAGAGACGTGAGTCTCCCGGCACGCAGCCTCCACCATGTCCAAGTGCTCACCCCGAAGGTCGTCGTAAGTCAACTTGGCCAGCTTGGAACGGATGCGTCGAAGGCCATCGGACGGAACTTCTACCCTCGCCCGACGAAGGAACGTGGCCAGGGATAGAACCGGTATCTTGCGCCCTCGAAGAGTTCCACCAGACTTGGGAGAGACGCGAGACTTGGGGCTCTTGGTGCTGCAACACTCAAACTTCGTGGTCGTACCATGGCTCTTGTAGCAACTGCCCTTGTCGTGCGTCTTCTGAGTCTTGGACTCCCGAAGACTGGCTGGACTCAGGTACTTGGCCGCGGGCTTAGATTCTGTCTCAGCCTCGTCGGACCCTTTACTTGAGATGTCGTTGTCGGCAGCAGCCTCGGCTCGCGCAGCCTTGTCCAATTCTGCCTGTGACAACTCGTAGGACGGATCCTGAACCTCATCGTCCGAGGACTCAGGGAGCTTGGCTTGTAGAGCCT